GAAGGAACTCGGCTTTCACCATGAAGCGTCATAATTCTTCTGAATGAAGACCTTCTAATTCCCAGGGCAGAGTTAAAATGGTTTGGATTATTTTTTCTGGTAGGCGTTTTTTTAGCGAGTTAGTTTTCAACGGGATGGGGACGCTAACCCCATCCCCAACCCTCCTCCTTTACCTGGGCTTGAGACCGGCAGTAACCCTATAAGAGCTACAGGCGGAGTTGGGCAGTACCACAGCTCACACACAAATATGATGAACTGCCCATAATTATGGAAACTACTTTACTTGCTTCAACTAACAATCAAATGATTACAATTACGATTATTATTATTATTATTATTATTATTATTATTATTATTATTATTATTATTATTTCCACATTATTCACCCTCTTTTATACTTATACAGCGGCTCGTCTTTGGTGGAAATTCGACTGTATCTAAACGTTCTCGAGTCACTGTCCGGTTGAAAATTGTATGTTACCACCGAATACGAGGACTGAAGCAGTTTTCTGAAACCACGTGCACCATTCAAACTGGCTGCCTTCAACGTTCGCACATTTATGCAGGTCGGACAACAGATAGGGCTGGCTATGTCTTTGGAAAGTCTTAATATCGATGTTTGTTGTCTATCCGAGACCCGTATTCAAGACTCTGGCGAAGTACTACAAATTCGATCTCCATCTGTCGCTTCGAAAAGCTTGTTTTACGTGCGCTTATCCGGGGACCCTGTGGCATCTTCGTCTGGTCTTGCTGGCGTTGGTGTCGCACTAAGCGCTAGAGCTGAGGCAGCACTAGTCGATTGGATCCCCATTAACAGTCGGTTATGTGCTGTTAGATTAGAAAGTTCCATCAAAGTGAGAAGAAATCGGCGTGAGAAACGATGTCTTTTCGTCATCTCCGCCTATGCCCCGACAGATTGCAGCCCGGATGCAATCAAGGATGAGTTTTACCACCAGTTATCTGTTCTTCTCCAGAAAGTGCGTTCGACAGATATTGTAGTACTAGCCGGAGACTTGAATGCTCAGGTCGGGCGTCTAGGCACAGAAGAGAGTCGTTTAGGTGGCCGATGGGGACTCGTTGGTCGCAGGTCAGATAACGGGGACCGTCTACTGCAACTTGCACAGACCACAACCTGTTTCTGGCTAGCACTAACTTTCGGCACAGTCATCGCCGATGTGCCACCTGGCGTCCTCCCTCTGCATCTCAAGCCTGGACTCAGATTGATCACATCGCGATCAGCTACCGCTGGCGTGGTTGTGTACAAGACTGCCGCTCCTTTTGGAGTACCTATCTGGACTCTGACCATGCCTTGGTCTGCGCCAATCTTGCCTTACTTTTCAGTGGACAACGAAGTGACCGCCACCAACGGATTGATGTTAGCAAGCTGGTTGCAACTTCTGTTGCAAGTAAGTATCGAACCGAGCTAGCCTCTAGGCTAGCTACCACTCCACCGAAAAGTATAGATGAGCATTGGTTGCAATTGCATGACGCCATGAAAATGGCGGGAACAGTCAGTTGTGGGTTTGCGAAACGTCCCGCTTTAAGCACTGGGTTTCTTCTGGTTCCTTACAACTCATTGAAGCCCGTCGGTCTACTCCGGGTGACCGTGAGTTTGACCATAAACGAAGGATGTTACGTAAGGAAATTGGGCAAAGCTTGCGTAAGGACCGAGAAGCCTGGTGGTCGAAGCGTGCTAATGAGCTGGAAGCAGCAGCTGCATCTGGTAACTACCGGAAGCTCTTCCAACTCATCCGAGCCACTGGCAGCAAGAAGTCTGGTGTGAGTGAAACAATCTGCGAGGATGATGGGATGCCAATCACTAACATCCATCGACGTCTTGGACGATGGGCAGAATTTTTCGAAGGGCAGTTCAACTGGCCTGCTGCTCCGGCAACATCGGTCAGACTGTCCTGCCCTCCATGGCCGGTGACGACTGATCCACCAAACGAGGAGGAAGTCCGCAAGGAACTCCAACTCTTGAAGCGTTACAAATCACCTGGCCCAGATGACTTACCTCCGGCTCTTTTTAAAGATGGTGGTGACTTTTTGACTAAGGAATTGACGACGTTGTTTACAAAGGTTTGGGAACTAGAGAGTGTACCAACGTCATGGAATGAGTCGATAGTTGTCCCTATCTTTAAAAAGGGTTCACGTCGTTCCTGTAACAACTATCGGGGGATAAGTCTACTTCCGATTGCGTCCAAGCTATTGGCTTCCGTCATACTTCGTAGGTTGTTCAAAACCCGAGAAAGATTGACTCGCGAGGAGCAGGCTGGGTTTCGTTCTGGTCGAGGATGTATTGATCATATCTTCACCCTCCGCCAAATGTTAGAACACCGCCATACTTATCAAAGGCCAACAATCGTAGTGTTTCTTGACATCAGGGCTGCCTTCGATTCGTTGGACAGGACTGTTCTCTGGGATTGTCTATTGAAGAAGGGTGTGCCTGAGAAGTTTATTAACATCCTAAAAGCCCTATATAAAACACCTCAGGCAGAGTGAGGGCATACAACCACCTCTCTCCATTGTTCCATTCGAGCAGTGGGGTTAGGCAGGGTTGCCCAATCTCACCATTCCTCTTCAACTTTGCCATCGATGACATTCTGGAAACAGCTCTGATGAATGTAAGTAATGGTGGTGTGGATCTGTTGCCTGGAGAAAGACTTCTCGACCTTGAGTATGCGGACGATATTGTCTTACTGTGCGATAATGCCCAAGGCATGCAATCCGCACTTAATCAGTTGGCAATCAGTGTCCGTAGGTATGGTATGTGCTTTGCACCTTCGAAGTGCAAAGTACTTCTACAAGACTGGCAGGATTCTAATCCTGTACTCACCCTGGATGGTGAGCAGATAGACGTAGTCGAGAAGTTCGTGTATCTGGGTAGCTGCATAAGTGCTGGTGGGGGTGTGAGTGATGAGATCAATGCACGAATAGTGAAAGCCAGAGCGGCTTATGCCAATCTGGGCCACCTTTGGCGCCTTCGTGATGTTAGTCTGGCTGTAAAAGGTCGGATCTACAACGCGTCGGTGAGAGCAGTTTTGCTCTATGCTTGTGAAACCTGGCCTCTCCGAGTTGAGGACGTTAGACGACTCTCTGTGTTCGATCATCGCTGTCTCCGAAGGATTGCTGACATTCAGTGGCAACACCATGTCAGTAATGCAGAGGTTCGGCATCGTGTGTTCGGGCACAGAGATGATAATCAATTGGTGTCACCATCTTGAAACACCGACTTCGGTGGCTTGGACATGTTCTCCGAATGTCGTCCCAGAGAATTCCACGTCGTGCATTATTTGCCGACTCTGGGACTGGTTGGAAGAAGCGGAGAGGTGGTCAGTGCATGACATGGTGTCGTGGCATGAAAGAAAGCTGCAAAGGACTGGCTTGTGTTGGTCCTTCACGACTCCCTGGTTGGGGTCTGAGAGATGGTGCTACACAGTGGCTAGAGACGTTATCAGATATGGCTCAGAATAGAAGCCAGTGGCGATCCTGCTGTAACCTTCTTTTACTTTCTTCATAAAAAGTGGTTGTGTCTCCTTACCTGAAAGATTTCTTCTGATTGTACCTTTCCGTTTCCCCCATTATTATTTTTATTGCTATTACACTACCTTATACTAATCTGTTCGTTATTGTTCTTTTTTTACGCCCCTTACCTTCTTTTCTTCTCTTCTCGAATTCTCATTTTTTTGTGTGGCACATATATATTTGGTGCCCTCTTGTGTTCAAATAAATAAATAAATAATCTGTACTTGTTGAGAGCTTACCGCCAGAGACGGATATTCGTGGGTAAAAGCGAGGTGTTCATTTTTAAGGTCAACCTTTTATAACCCCGTTCCTCCTTGTGGGAAGGCAGCATCGCTGTTATGCTGGTTGTCTGAAGGATACACTACTGCCGTCACACACAGCCAGCAGTACGACCTCGGACCTTGGGTTTGTTGCTTTTAGTTTTACCGCTTTCCAACCGACCTATCTGGTATGATAGGACCTTGAGGAACGATTGTTCCAGCCAGTATAGTTCGATTGGTTCATTATGATAGGCGAACCCGACCACCACGTTAAGGTAACAGCAAGAGTCGGGACTACTAGCATACATAGTCCAAACTTTAACAAAACTGTTTTAATACATTGTCTTTGATTCCTTAGTTATTTTGGTTCTATGTTTCACTGACTTTCACTTTATACTCTATTCGACCGCCAATCTAGTTGTTACTTATTGTCGACGTCTTCAACATTGGATAGAATAGAGTCAGTGTAACCAGTTTTCTAATCATAATAATAGTTTAGATATTTTAAGCTTAAAAGAACATTAAATCCTGTCAACCATAAGCTGTGAATAATGTCAAATGAAGATTCTTTGAAATTATTTTCTTGGGTTGTTTCTTTTCGCTTGGAAGAGATATACTGTCAAGTGCAGAATATCATGAGGCAGATGCGCTTAGAATATCTTAGACTGTTTATTCTCAATGAACTCGATTCGTTATGACTAAAAGCCGTGCATACTAATTATAAGTCAGTTGAAAAACTTTAAGATTTCAAGCTCCTACGAAGGAATACACAAAACATGATTTAGCACGACTTTAACCTTTTTTGCCATTTAAAACTGCGTTGAAATAAGATTAAACAGTGAGAGTTTCTAGTACTACTGACGGGATGAAAAGCATTTCGTTTCGCTTACCTCTTGTCATTCTAGAAACACAACCTAACTAATACCATACTTATGTTGTTATTGTCACTATTGTTCATCATATTTCTCAACATACATATATATTCGTTGGAATGACCTTCTGCGCGTAAATTCTGATTTAGACATACCACAATTTGTTTGAATTTTGTTGAGCTTACTAAATAGTAGATAAGTGAAATCCTTGGTCTGAGATCATAGATACCAATAGTTCGGTTATGATTACTTTCCGTTTTGTTTTTCTTTAATGTTAGATTTTACTTTATTTCTGCTCATCTATACAATATTAATTAATTCACTATTGACATTTTTGTTCTAGGTCATTTCCTAGACTGGATTATGTAATTGAGTATATTCAGGCATTCTACATACCTATACACGAATGGGAGCATTGGTTAACTAACTATGGGACTAAATATTCACGATCTCAGTTAACTGGACTTGCATCATGTCTTTCACGATCTGATAAACGTCAATATCAACGACTTATAAACACAATAAATCAAATTTACAATACAACAAACCAAACGAATTCATTTGGAAATGGTTTGTTGACCACTACGACGAGTTGAAAAAACTCATATAGTGTTTCATAGAACATTTTATTTTGTATGTATATAATATTTATACGCGAGTCTTTTGAGTATGTCTTGCATTTGGATAAATACATGGATTTAGGTAGAATATAGAAACTAGAAAATAGAGGGAAAGAGAATGGATAGTACAAAAGTTTGCCAACCGTTAAGGAGAAAATTTGACTGTACACAATAGCCAGACACTGAAATATTTACATAGACTAGCTGTTGGACGATGATGCTTGAAATTTCATCATTTCAGCACGGAATGCAGAAGGATTAGACCATAGTTGGGCTGCTTGTCCATTTAAAGGACTATCATTATTGGGTTCTGTAACGGACAAGAAACATTATTAGAAGCATTCAGTTCAGAAGTGCATTACAAATAACGCATGACAGTTGTAGAACACTTAACACTGCTCGATCACTATGTAGTGACCCATGTAATTTTTATCTAGTACTTAGTATTGATTTAGTCACTAGTTTAAGTGACTCAACACTGACTGCACTATTTCGATGTTAAATAGTTAGAAGTGGTCAGAAGAGAATTTCGCGACATTTTATGTCAGCTAGTACATGTTGACATGGCGTACTTAGTCTTGAGGGACCTGATACTCTTCATGATTTCCAAAGCCAAGTCACTACCGAGCTATTTGAGTAGCGACAGACCTACTGTAAAAATGATACATTCACACTGTCTGACCACTGATAGGTAGCTAGTATAATGTTTGTTTGATTTATAGTGATCGGATTCTGTCGATCATGCTTGGGAATAAAATTATCCTGGATTAGGTTTACATACTTACTAGTCAAACTAAATGAATGAAATCCAGATATATGGAGCCTCATCATTACAGTCAACTCTAATTTGTTAGTACCAACAACCTTAAAACACCTAAGCTTTTTACTTTATTTTACCGACATGAAGCACTGGACGTACAATCAGGTGTATAGTTCAATTACACAGGAGCTCAGACATATATATATATATATATATATATATATATATATATATATATATATATATAATCTTTTACTACACACGGATGAGGATGCTAAACATTCTAGGACTACGCTGTTTTGTGCACAATCAGTCAACAGAATTCAGAAATATAGATGCGATGTTAAAACACTAACCTGCTAATAAACTTCGAATAGATAACAGAAGATTTTCTACAGTCAGTAAAGGAGACCACATTTCTTTCAGAATATCTAAGCATATTACTCCACGAGTATCAACATTAGGATGATAACATTTCGAAACAAAACGCACATTTGGAGGACTGTATGGATAGTTAGGGCCAAACTCAAGTGAAAGCTTGTATTGCTGACCTTCATATACCTTTAAGAGACAAAATCAGTAAGATATCAATGATTAGAAAAAATGAGGACCAGACAACGGCATAAAGAATTGACATTTATGTAGAAATTGATATACTTACCGTTCCATCAGGACCACGTATAGACGCTAGCCAACGAGTGAGATTTTCACCATCTGGAAATGCCGTTACGCTTTTGTCGTTAGACATCTGTAATAAACAATTAACTTTAAATTAATATCAAGCAAAAATAATAAGGTATTCTTTTGGTTTGTATGAAATCTGGTCACTTAAGATTACAAATTCACAAGACTAATTTCCTCGACAAGCTAACTGGCTCGATTTGCACATTTATTTAACTTGGAAAGTAGGCATATATATACAAACGATAAATAACGGGATAAAATACAATTATTACATTGTCTGAATCATGTAAGTCTCAAGTCTTCAATGCACTCTGAGGGGCTTCAATAGACCACGCATTGACTAATTTTTACATTCCAAGGAAATGAATTGCACGTTTTCTTGAGGCCCAGTCGCAAAGGAGTAACATGGTTATGATTATGAATTATAACGTATCTCGTTTACCACGTACTTGGCTTTGAGTTTCATTGTGTAAGGTGTCGGTTGTCTGAACTAGACGTTGCATAGATCGAATGAACACACCAATTGGTGAAGGATAAATGGGAATCGATCACTGTTGCTCAATAATTAAATAAAAATTTTGGACCTGGTTGCTCAAATCACTGCAAATGAAATGGGGTTCCAGTCTCCAACTCAGAGGTTGAAATACGAGTATTTCGATAACTAAAGCGGAGATTTGGATCAGTAACACTTACTGATGGGCCAAGTAACAGGACACCTGAGGTACTGCAGATAAAGCATCTCAAGACATCAATAAACAACTTTATTAACAGATTGTAAAATCAGTGCCACTTATTAACAAAATAATGATTTTGTCATCAGATATCACATGCCCAAAAACTGAAACAAGTAGTTTTTGTGGCTTATTACAATTAGGCATTAATATACACCAATTTCTGATTAATTCCCCCTGTCTGTAAATACCTGTCAGCAACTGTAACTCAGGGTTATTTTGGTCCATTAACCTTGTTTTTAGCTATCAGGAATTGGCTGAGATCTACTAATCAGGGAGTTCACCACTTACGACTTGGGCACGTGACGTATGCTGAGTATATATTAGTGCAGCCATGACTTCAGTTCAAGTGTGGAACTAACCATAAAGATGAATCTGAGGATTCTATTGTAAGATAACAATGTATCCCCTATAACGTTGGGGATAGATGCCTTGCTACCCATTTAAGCAGGAATTCGAAACGGAAGATACATGCATGCGTATTTATTAACACTAAGTGGATACAATGACCTTAATGTCAACGGGGAATATGGTTTTAAGTCGACAGAACAAAAAGGGTAAGTAAAACTGACATACAAACTAAGACCAATGTCTCGAAAACTTACTAGCAACTCCATTAATTCCTTCTGCAATCTAAATTAGGAATAGACCATTAGTGATAAAAAGACAAACAACCTTTTGCTAACACTATCCCCATTCATTATTTTGAAAGACAGCTGCGCGGGGAAGTTCAAGGCAAGTGGTAGTCATAGTTGTGAAGCGTGTATGAGGTACAAACATGTGGCTTTATCAAACGTAAATATTGATCTGCAGTGTTTATATGATTTATACCGGGATCACAAAACATGGTCCTTGGTCCTGATATGATGGGAAGAAAAAACTCAATTTTTGATTGATTTATTTACTATGAGTTTTATTCAACATAACATACATTCTAATTCAATGTGATGAACATTCACTGTATTATTTGTTTTCTTTGTCGTATGATATTTTATTCTGTATAATATATGATATTCTTATATTCGATTGTTATGAACTATAATCAGTCTGTGATTTGTTATAACTAAGTATTTTTCATACATGTGAATTTATTCTAATTACTACTCAAAAATGGGTGTAAAATCAATATATAAACCAGTGTATTTCAGACTATTTTGATCATCGTTTGTCGTCGTGTTTGGGGCTATTGAATCATCACTTATACCAGTCTTTGTGTTCTTACTTCGCATCGTGGGAATTGCAGGGGTCCCTCGTTCCTAGTATAAGTGATCAGCGTTTTTTCCAGCGCAGCAATCAGCGACGACCAAACATAACAGGTCCCTAAAGCATAGAAATACGTAAATTTGAAATAAATGTTTCTGAGTACTGAATAGGACAACAAGTAGTCTCAAAGCATTTTAAGTGTACATTATGCTAGCATTCACATACTTTTTTGTAGCTCTTTTGTGCTATATCTGTTATAATATAAGCCTAATGAATTCACTGTCAAAGTAACGTGCCTTATAATCTATATCGGGTCCAGTTCTCAGTGAGTACATATATGTCAAAATTGGTAGTTACAGGTGCATGTGTCCAGATGTAGATTCAGAAGACCACTAAGCAAATGTTTTATTTTAGGTAAAATTAAAGACCTGACCACTAATTGAAAATAAGAGTAATTATGACATTACTAATTGCTTTACTTACTACATAAATGTCCATGATATCTCACTGATCAAATTGTGCTTGTCCTAATTTATGTTTTAGACCTGACACTTCCTGCTTACATATGAATCTACATATCCTTTTGTTGTCCTAAACGTAAAGCTCTATAAGTCCTATCGCCAGTTATTAGTATGATGAATTCATAGCGACATGTAAATTTAGTAATTCTCATAACTACAAAAAAAGGCAACTTTTGTTCTTCGTAACGTTTTACGTATAATCACATTTATGTTCAGTATCTATTGCTTGTTTGTGTCACTTGTGAATAAACTACTAATAATTGGTTAGTATCTACGTGACTTTGGTGTTCAAATAAGTACTATCGACGTCGTTCCATCTTCTGGCTTATCAGCCACAGCTTACAGGTGAAGATTATAATAGCGTCACATTACCATTACACATCATTCTACATAATGAGAGATTGCTGGCATGAATCACTCCAAAATATCATCGGGTTATTACTTCGCTTCATGCCATCGGCGCCAAACGCATAGGAGAATATTTATTAACTATGTAAACTATATTTGTGGAAGTTACTTAAAACAGACTTCAAAGTAACATTTATTACATAGCTGCTCTAATTATTTTTTCAGTCAATATACCTAACTTGTTGTTGAGTGTTTCTTTCTACCACCACTCTGGTTACATAATGTCGTTTCAGTTTGACGTATTAATATTTCGTCTTTCTCAGTACTACTTTCTCTGCATTTTATCATATCTTGATTAAGTTCTTAAGAGATCTAATTACTGATTTAGCTTCCGACCCGATCATGATTCTTCATTTTATCTACTTATACGAGTGCATGAAATGTACACATCCACATCATATTTCTCACAAGACTCCTTATATCATCATTGTTGTCATATTTATTCCCTAAAGGTTGAAATCTAAGTAAACATGCGAAGTTATTTGGCATACATATTTCAAGGGTGTAAGATGACTACCATGTAAGTGTCGTACTAAATGTCGGTGGTTATTTGAAGACGCCACATACAATTAAGGTTGGATAACACTTTTGTTTCCTACACCTATAATAGAAGTAGACCAACCCAGTTAGATCAGAAGTCAGGGATGAATGAGTACGAATGTATTTTTAGAAGGTTGTCGATATGTCGAGAAGCGTTTGATCTAGACCGGCTTCTATTAGAAAAAATATGTAACACAGCGTACTCGCATGTCATTGGGACCAAGCGCCTTCAGTTAGGGGGTGTTCAGTAAAACCAATGAATTCAAAGACTTGTTTCGCGAATTTGTTTACCGATCCATACTAATGGGTTTATTCACTACATCTGCATATGTTTGGTTTCCGTTTTGGTTTATTTTAAACTTATTAATTGCTTGCATCATCTAGAGTATGAATAACTTGTACATATATCGGATCCTAAACACACGATATTCGAAGTTGAACTTATACTAACTGAGATCTACTCTCAACATGTAACACATTGAGAAGGTCAAAAAATAGTGAACACGTGAAGACGGGATCAAAATGGTATGGCTCGGCCATGTAAACGTAGTAACTCTATGTAACTTCCTCCTTTTCACATCACATTTATTATGCTGTCCTCAGCCCAAACATGGCCCTAGAAACGTCAGACATCACATTGTTGGTTGTCACTATGAGAAGAGTCAGTGTGTAGAGTGATGAGGCTTCTATATCGGATCTTACGCGTTGGGTAATCGTATCATGACAAATTTGGGGCTTTGTGATTCCGTCTATCATTCTAGTAGCAATGATAAGTGCACTGATATCGAATTTGTTATATCCGAGCGAAGATTAAACTACGGGTAACTAGTTTTAATGAGCTTGGTTACGAAGATAGGAATTGTGCCCTTTAATCGTGAATTGTATCGCTTCCTTATAAAGCAGTCTTCACTAGACTCTTCCGTACAGACATTATCGTCGTCTTTTTACTGATTTCAAGGAACAAGTGCTCGATCACTGAGCACTGTGGTTCGTTTTCGTGCGTAAATCTGTTATCTTTACAACGAAAATGCTGAATGATCATATAACAATTCGATATGACTGGCTTCTAATAGTTGGACAGCTGGCCCTACTGACTCTCACAACTAGCAGTCGTACACTGGGCCTTCAATTAACGCTGCCGCATACTGAGAGAATTACTATATAAGGAGACCAGTAAATGAACTAGACATGTGGAATAGCCAGCAGTTTCTGTGCTTATTACACAATTGCGTTAACTAATCATCGACACTGGTGTGTGGATTCAGTTGAGCTGGTACACCGGGATATTGATGTACCTTTGCCCTGAGAGTCAAAGGCTCACTAATAAATATCACTAAAACTGTCGCTGATTTTATTTGTTCTTGAGGTTTCGTAGAAGAATCTGATGAACTCTCCAGGCACGATAAACCTCATATTGTGTAATCACCTGACATCTAATTTCTCCAGTACTCAATTCACCAGGAGACAATGTAGCCGTAAATAAATCCTCCAAACATATAGCTCTGTAAGTTTTCGACATTGAATGCTAACGACATTAGTTTCAGGGGACTCACCTAGCTGAAAGCGCTCGGTCATGCATCCGCACCAGATCACGAGTGGAAACGCCGTGCTAATCTATCCCTGCAATTGCTAGCCAGCATAAATCAGTCGATTCTCGATATATTATTAGCTTATCAAACATATCTTCAAACTCCTAGCTTCTGATATTTGATTTCACTAGGTGGTTACGATTCATAGTAGGTATTACTGGTTAAAGCGTTGTCAAACTCCAAATATTTTTGACATGTTTAACATATGAAGTGAGTTCTTTCACGTGAGTTTAAAGACGATAAGGCACTAGTCATATGCAACTGTGATTTATATGGGTGGTATAGGTAAAGCGCGATTAATCTTTTCACTATTTACCTTATCAATCTAGGAAAGCTCTCGGAGGTTTGGGAAAGGCTGTGTTGAGTGTAAACTCCGTACACCACGCTTTGCGTGCAACGACCAATGTTCGAGAAAAGAAAAAATCTCTCAAGCCTTTCTAATAACCACCACGACCGAAAATATATGAAAAGCTAGAGAGGATACGAGTTTATTGATAGCAGTCTCAAGCGACAATAGTTTATATATGGCGATAGCTGTTTCAACCGTTCAAACCCTGAAACTATTCACACACTAAGCACAATGGTGAGCAGTACTTGTACTTTTATTTATATTCAGTACTCTCATCTCAACTACGATTTACGTCAACAGTACAAAAAAGGCTTAGTACTGCCAAAACAGACCTATGAAAGCCAGAGGGAAGAGTCCTAGTATTTATAAAATTAATTCATAATTCGAATACCGAATGCGGTATACGATAGTACTGCATCCATTGATCCTGTGCTATCCTGAAAATCGCTGCACCACACTTTCAGACTTTAAAAGATCAGGGCCTTACTATATGTAACGCTCTGGATTTTATGCTCAATGGCACCCTGAAATCAGTAGAAATTAGTCCGTCATTGGGTTCCTATCCCGAAAGCTATGTTTCTTTACTCCAGAAGTAATCAGGAGCCTTTTTGTATTTGACAAGAACTGTGTCTAGAATCAATTGACGCCATCATGAGCCTCACTTAACTACGAGTGTATCAATCAATTAGAACAATTTCAAATCAGAATAACAGAAAGTGTACTCAAACCGATGGGTAAACTCTACCAATTTCATTTGGGCGCATTTAACATGCTAGTGGTATAACACAGGATGTGATATAATATTATCAACATATACACAGAATCGTTTTCATTACAGGTTATTTTCACGAGTTACCAACGGGCCACACTTAAAGTCGGACTAAATGAATGTAGAATATTTGTGGCCGCTAGTTTTTTATACATTAGAGTTCCAGGTTTCAAGAGAAAGTAATTAATCATCGTGACAATAAAATCTCGTTATAAATTCGGATTCACTCTTCAGAACCTAACAGTCGATTGATTTTAGCTAGAAAAGTTTGATTATATGAATTTTGTTTTAACTTTCCATGTTCAGATGAATGACTGTATCCACAAACTCAAATATGTTATGTGTTTTCGGCGTAAAATGTTAATGTTTGGTATTCTTTGCCATTTATGCCTTACTGGAACCGTACTGACAACATGTCATCGCTTTTATGCGATAGAAACAGATTTAAGTGAGGTTGAGGTAAATGATTTGGTCAGTGGTTTTGGAGGTACAGTCACTGGAAGTGTAAGTAATTTAACAATAAAATTATTTCTTCTT